TGGATTTTGCTCTGCTTTGAAGAAAGACCTTGAAGTTTGTGATTGAGCCATCAGTTGTTTTTGAAAAGTGGGTGTGACGGTGTATGTCCTTCCAGTCTTGCCTTCTTGTAGGTTCCCAGATGATCATACATTTTCAGAGGTGTGGGTACCATCTTCCCACTTCATTGGAGAGGACTGCACAGCCATCATTTGCTTCCTTAAGGTAAGCCCACTGAACCTGCATTCCAGCTGGCCTTATCTATCACTGCTTGATCATGCTCATTAAAATAAAACAATGATTCAATTTTTTCTAAGATCTTCATTGGAAAGAGATGAAATTAAATTTTCTAAGGAAAGGAGGAAACAATTGAATAAAAAAATAAGACAAGTAATTGAATTGTAGGTCCGCGGCTGATTCGATTCTGACACATGGAACTACTAATGAGATGACAGAGCACTCTGCCTCCACACAGCGCCCGCTAACCCACGCAAATCCTGATCATCTGCTTCCCGTCATGGTGTACAGTCTGGTTTTCCCAGAGTGCCCTAGGAACCATGGGCATCACCAGAAATCTGCAGCACACCACCAAGTGCAATATGGTAACATAGTTTTGCTCCTAAACCAGACCCCCCCAAACAAAAAAAGCCAACAAATAAAAAACCTGAGTAAGGAAGTTAAGGTTTTATTCATTTTATCCATTGAACAAAGTCCCCAAGGGGCTGGAAAGTCACATATTAAGGAAATGACAGTGCCAAGGCTCAAACCCCTGTGCTCTTGCTACCTGCTCATGATACCTAGATCTAGGACCACCCAGGTCCAGAACATGCAGAACCATGACAGAACTGTCTGTTCTTCAGGTCTCCTGGGTTGTGGCACTGGGTTAGGGCCCCCCTGGCAAACAGTGTAAAAAAAAAAACGTATTCTGAGATGCTTATCATGGAGGCACTGGGCCACTCTTGCCTGTGACCACTGCTTAGGAAATGGTGTGTGCTGGAAGTTACTGACAAAAGTACATTTAGTTGCATTTTCCTTCAATATACAAGAAGACAACTGAGAAGTTCCCCAGGTCCTGACTCATTTCCCAATGTTCTCTATATCTCAATGTTTGCCTTCTGTCCCCTCTCTTATCCCTGTTCCACTGAAGCCATCTGTAACCACTTGTGGGGATGCAGGTATTCTAAAGAGACACTTGTGGGCCTCCCTTTGACCATCAGTCTATTAAAATAGTGGTTCCCCCAAATTAGAATTTCTCCAGGGCCTCTTGCTGGGAGAAGGAAAGGATGCAGTCTAATGCCAGCAGAGGAGAAACTTGAAAGAAATTTCACATAGGTCTAGCAACTTGTCAGATCGCCATGCAGAAGAGAGTGGAGCTGAGTCAATGATGGTCAGTGCTGGGCAGGACCATACCAGGCTGGCCCGGACTACTTAGTTCTGCATGCCTCTTGCCCAGTATTTAAATATAAACCTCATGTAGGATGTCACTGAACCTCTTCATTTGCCCCTCATCTCATTGTGGTCACATTAAGTCTCTCTCTCTCTCTCTCTCTCGCTCTCT